ATTGCATTTGATGAAAAAAAGTGTTGTTTCAATGCACCGTGTCACAAGTCAGTGACAGTGATAGCAAAAATCCTTGAATTGGGCTTCGAATTGCTTCCGCATCCACCGTATTTTCCAGATATGGCCTCCAGTTACTATTTTGTCTTCTCAAATGTCGAAATAATATTCGCTGAAAAGAATATTTCTTCGAATTCGATTGAAGAGGTGATTGCCGAAACTGAGTCCTATTTTGAAGCAAAAGATAAATCGTAATACAACAAGTAAGGAAGGGCTAAGTTCGGGTGTCACCGAACACTTTATACTCTGGCATCAAATACCGTATTTGTGTAAAGTTTTATTCCGCTATCATCATTGGTTTCTAATGTATATATTATACAGAGAAGGAATCAGATGGGATTCAAAATAGCGTTATATTGGAAGAAGGCGTGGTTGTAAACCGATTTCACTCATATTTCGTACATGTCATCAAGGTGTTAAGAAACTATTATGTACCGAATTTCATTGAATTCGGTCGAGTAGTTCCTGAGATATGGTTTTTGGTCCCATTTTCAATTTTTAAAGAAAGCCTGGGTGCAGCTTCTTTCTGATATTTCTTCCGTAAAATTTAGTGTTTCTGACGTTTTTTGTTAGTCGGTTAACGCACTTTTAGTCATTTTCAACATAACCTTTGTATGGGAGGTGGGCGTGGTTATTATCCGATTTCTTCCATTTTTGAACTGTATATGGAAATGACTGAAGGAAACGACCCTATAGAGTTTGGTTGACATAGCTATAGTAGTTTCCGAGATATGTACAAAAAAATTAGTAGGGGGCGGGGCCACGCCCACTTTTCCAAAAAAATTACGTCCAAATATGCCCCTCCCTAATGCGATCCTTTGTGCCAAATTTCACTTTAATATCYTTATTTATGGTTTAGTTATGACACTTTATAGGTTTTCGGTTTTCGCCATTTTGTGGGCATGGCAGTGGGCCGATTTTGCCCATCTTCGAACTCTACCTTCTTATTTAGCCAGGAAATACGTGTACCAAGTTTCATCATGATAATTTTGACTCAAGTTACAGCTTGCACGGACGGACGGACAGACAGACATCCGGATTTCAACTCTACTCGTCACCCTGATCACTTTGGTATATATAACCCTATATCTGACTCTTTTAGTGTTAGGACTTACAAACAACCGTTATGTGAACAAAACTATAATACTCTCTTTAGCAACTTTGTTGTGAGGTTATAAAAATGGTATTGAAAAGTTGTAGGTATGCTATAATCAGTGTATCAGGCTTGAAGGGAATTATTTTAATACCAAATTCTCGCGTTTCTCACTTTGACGCGTTTCGGTTAAACCCGAACTTAGTCCTCTCCTATCAGATTATTTAATGTTTTTTATTTTTTCTACTTCTACATACATATTATATGTCTTGTGTGTGTGCTTTTAAGCATGCATATGCGGTTTCGCCCATTCATCTGCAACAGCGCGCCATAAGTCATGCCAGCAGCCAAATATGCGCCCACCAACTCAAATGCACATGTGTATGTGTGCGTGTGAGTGCTTGTCCGTTTATTTGTCACACGACTTTAACAGCTGTACGAAAAGTCTGTCCATGCAAAAGGATGCAGAGCATAAAATGTGCTTATGTATTACACTCGAATTCACAAATTTCATAGGCCCACATACACACACACACACTTATGTATGTGCTAACAAGCGCGGCATGCCGATTTGTCGTTTGTGCGGGTGTTAGCCTTTCCGGACAACCAAAGGCTTGTTAGTCATGAATGACGGGGCAGGACGCTTGTTTTCGCTCAACATGTCCCATTCTTGTACTTATTTTATGCTTATTTCATGCTTTGGTCGCGCTAACAGCTAACAGCGATTCGCCATTGTATTCCTTCTGTGTTTCAGGCGTTCACTGTCGCCTGTTATTTTTATTGTTGTTGTTGTTGTTAGTATTGCTGCTTTGTACGTTTAGCCCTTGTTGTTGCTGTTGTTGTAATAACGCTTTTTCATCTGCTCAACAATATGATTGTGTAGCGCCTAGTTGTTGTTGCTATAGTTGTTATTGTTTTAATATGTAGCCGCTAATGTATTTTGTGGTGTACAACGCCATAAGTGTTCGTGTGTGCCTGTGTATGTGTGCGCGTCAGTAATGTAATTTACGTTGACTGTTTTGAATAAACCAAGCATGTAATGAAGTTGGCTGCTTTTCATGCAACCCAATGTGTGGCGTCGTTCACCGTCAGCCTCGGTGCGGCGCATCTAACCTCGGGCCGCTTCATCACACACGACTTGGCACCAAACATATGTACTCATGTAGGTACATACGTATATGTGTCGTCATAGTTGTACTCACATTGTAATTGCATTCGCTTGCTTGTATGTGTGTGTGTGTGTGTGTTCTCGTATGTACGGTTATTTGCATGCCAACCTTTTCGTAGTGCAGGACCTTCGGTTATGGCAGATTTGGCGCTTTCACTTTATTGTTAATGTTTTGTTAATTTGCTATTGTTGTTGCTGTTGTTTTTTCATCTTCTGCCCATTACCATGGCGATGTCAAGTAGTTGCAGATGTTGCGTCCAAGCAACGAGCAGCGAACGTTTACACCATACAACTCTTTCATAAATATATTCATACGCTCATACATACATACTTACGGGTATACAGTGGCGAGCAAGTTTCTGTACGAAATACGTGATCTTCAATATCTTATAAACATTGTTATGAGTTATTTTAAAAATAGACTGATATTCGATACTGATGATGGCAAAGCTAATACGGTTATGTAAGCTGACGTCGAGTAACACCAAAAGCTCCGTTAGTAGCGGGAAGAGCTGTTCGACATCAATCGAGGTTTCAGACAAGAGGACTCCCTATCGTGTGGCTGCTATTGCTAATATGAGCTGCAGAGTTAAATAGAGAGAGGATATAACAAAGAGCGTAGAGCCAAGCTCTATAAGTCCTTTTTCATACCTTTCCTGCTATGTGGTGCAGAGGCATGGAAAATGACATCATTTGATGAGTCGGCCTTAAGAGTGTACGATAGAAAAGTCTTACGGAAGACTTATGGTCCTTTGCGCATTAGAAACGGCGAGTCGATGGAACCAAACGTTGACGGTCGCAGCACAAAAAAAAACACAAAAAAACAAAAAACAACAAAAAAAAAAAAATAATCGGCCCAGACCGACTCTTGGTTGTTGTGACAAAAAAAAAAAAATAAATAAATAAATAAATAAAAAGAAGACAAATAAATGTAATATGCTATTGGCAATAAGAGGAATCAGTACTTTCTGAAAAATTTCCAGCGAAACCGTGGAGTAATGTTATGAATTTCAACTTGACTCAAATACTAAATATACATAACTTAGTCCAAACTGTCCGTCGTGTACATAGTCCTTAGAAGGCTTTTAATATTCTTTGATTGCCATCGCTCTTTAAATAGAAAGGATAAACTAAGAACTACAAATACACTCGGTGGTAGTCTTACGATGGGTGATTTGACGTCACTCACGTGTCAGTACCCCGAGAAAGATATCATAGGCATGTTGTCAGTAAAGGGGCAGCCTCAATTATGACAAAATCAACGTATAAAGAGCAGACCGTCTGTCTGTATCATAGAGTGGACTAAAAATGTCTTTTTACGTCCAGGAAGAAATATTTAATCCCGTTGTTTCGTGGTCCAGAGGACTAAACAATCTACGCATCGGCTTTCGAATCAAAACTGTTCGCATGTTGCGATATTACGTAATCACTGTTTTCTATACGAAATAGGTCAGTTTTTTGTTTTTTTTTTTTGTGCGAAGAATTGACTATAAAAAACTTTGGAATGTAGTTGCTTTCCTAAACTTGGGAGGATGCTCACGATTGCCACTCTCTAAAGACATAACAAGCATCGAAGGCCATAAACAAAAATGTCAGCAAATGAAGCGTTCAGAGACTTTCGAAGTATAGGTTTTGTGATCGCTGTTGAACAGAAGGAACCAGCTCCATATGATAAAATTGTTAAGGTGCGGTTGTAAAGAACATGAAAACTGGTTCGTGGAAGTTTGGATGGGCGTTCCTTACTTGTAGTATTTCGCTTTTGTTTTTGTAAATCAACATCCATCTAAACTGTTGCAGACATCTTAATAGAATTGCTCGCCACTGTGTGTATGTATATTTATAATTTGTTTTCGGTATCTCTTTCCAATACGTCACGGCAGCACAAGTTCGGTTATGGATACTTTTGAGAAAACAATAGTTCAGTGAAATATTTCCTGATTGAGTGTTAATAAAGCTTGTCGACAAGGACAAGTGTCTATAGCCTCTAAGTCACTGCTATCTGGGTCTTTGAAGCTTAGTTCCATTCAAGAACCCAAAAGTTTTAATGAATTAACTCTGTTATAATCTATGTGAATGCCCAGTCTTAGCCGGATGAGACGGGATATATTCCTTGGGTCCTTGGGGTGGAAAAGATCACATTTTTTTTTACAAAATCCGCTGAGTTGTTGGATAAGGCTTAAGTTCAGTTTCTCGATACTCACCTGAGTAAAGTTGAAGATTTCAAATATTTCATTGAAAAATAAAAAGCAAGATTATGCTACTTATTCGCCATGGTACGATTCAAAACGTGTTTAGGTATTTGTTTACTCTAGACTTGAGTATTGTTGGATTTTCTTTTGAGTCCACACGACTTTTAACTTGCGTAACTCTGCTTGTGTGTGTGTGTGTGTGCGTTAAGTGAAGTTTAAGTAAACAGCAGCTGCACTTTACTGGTCTCTATTTCATTCCAACATTTACATATATACATATGCTGTGCGCTCACAAGCAACGCTGAGTATGTGTGCCATATCCTTATTTCTATATTTAACGATCTTCTGTTGCGTTTGCTCGGTGTTGTTAAATAATTTGCCCGTTATAGTTTTAACTGCTGCTGATTTTGTTGTTGGTTGTTTTTGTTTTCTTGTTGCTGTCATTATTGTCTATTAGCACAGCTGTTAAATAATTTTTAATTGCATACACTAGAGCTTTCTTGAGCGCCTTGGCCGGAGGAAAACGTAGCACGACGGAGCTAATAACGGTGTCTGCGTTGCCTGCATGTCTTTTGGGACGCTGTGTCGGAAGCAAGCGCTTTAATATTATATTTTAAAGAAGTAAGTTTTGTAATACTCAAAAGGCAACGTTGGAAATCCTATAAAGTATATATAATATATAAATAAATGATCAGCGTGATGAACTGAGTCGATCCAACTCAAGTTCTTGTATCGAAAACTTTTTTATTGATGAGATATATTCACAAGATTTGGCACAAATAATTTTCCAAAGTATCTCTAGAATACCCAATTGTTCAAATCGGACAACAATAGCTTATAGCTGCCATACAAACTGATTGATCAAAATCAAGTCCTTGTATGAAAAACTTTTTTATTATCTATCTTTCTACATATCTTTACGAAATTTGACAGTAAACATTCTAAAAAGCTACGCTACAAAATTTGATAAAATTTTTTATTTTCTATATAACTGCCATACAAATTGACCAATAGAACCCAAGTCCTTGTATGGAAAGTTTTTTTCTTTGACTAGATATCTACTCACAATTTGGCATAGAGTTTCGTCCAATGTATCCCTATAATACCGAAAAAAATTTTTCAAATCGGACAACTATAGCATATAGTTGCCATACAAACTGACCGATCAAAATCAAGTTCTTGTAGGAAAAACTTTTTTATTTGAAAAGGTATCGGCACGCAATCTGACATGGAAAATTCTCCAAAGCAACGCTACAATATCTGAAGAAATTTTCTAGATCTGACTACTATAGCATATACATATCTATCATACGAATTGAATGATAGAACTGCAGTCCTTGTACGAAAAACTTTTTTGTTTGAGAAGGTATCTGCACGAAATTTGGCACAGATTATTTTTCAAAGAATCTGTAGAATATCTCAATAAATTGCTGAGATCGAATAACTATAGCTTATAGCTACCATACAAAGTGAGTGAAAATAATCAAAATAAAAATCTTTGTATACCCTTTAATGCTTTAAAATATGCACCTGTGAAGGATGTTATAGCTTCGGTGCAGCCGAAGTTAACGGTTTTTTCTTTTATTTTTAGAACTTTCAGATTTTTATTAAAACGCCCTCAAAACTAAATTTCACCAAAACTCTTTGTGGCAAGTTTTCCTTCAGTCAACAAAAGCTTCACATATTAATAAACAAATTAATGTCTAGCTATTATTTCTCAATGCAAAAACCCCTCCTCCACAATCGCGTGTTCAAACAACAAATCACAATTTAATTTCAGTAAAACTTGTTTACACCCGCGTGCAATAAAAACCGAACACAATTTAATTAAAACAATTTATAGTAAACAGATGAGCAGTTTTAACAAAAATCGTGCGAAAAAAATATTGCCAATTCGTTGTGGAAAAAAAGATAAAAATCAATTAAAAATCTCTGCGCCTGCGGTTTAAATGTTCGCGAGCATTTCCGCTGACATTACTTGCAGCTGAATATAGTTATAAAAAATAAACGACAACAACAATATATAATTGAAGGCGTGATGGGTAATCAGTATGGCAGCAAATTAAATGCGCAATCACAAGCGAAGGCCGCTGACCACATGACAACAACAACAACAAGCGCATGAAATATTTGCCAGACAAATACCGCTGCAAATTTAATAATTGCAGGCAAAAAATTAACAAGAAAAAAAGTTAAAAAAAAATAAATAAAAATTAAAAAATGAGCAAAAAAAAATTAAATAAGAAAATAAATAAAAACATAAATAGAAAATTATAAGAAGAAGCAACAAATGCGCATCAGTAACAAATTAAAAGCGCTGAGAGTTGCATCAAAAAAAAAAAAAACAAAAACAAAGGAAAAAAAGTACATAGATTTTATATTTTTCATTAACAGCCGTTTTTGTAGTCACTTACTCTTTCTCGGAGGTACAAATTAGTTCTTGCCTCTTAATTGAACATACTGAGTTAATTAAAGTTTTCAAAAGTATTTAGTTTTAACCTCATACCAAAAGTGTTGCATTTGAAGACTAGTGAAAGGTTACAAAACTGAGAATAGTCCAATTAATTTTAAATTATAATTAATAAACTTTACTAAACCATTAGCTGTAAAGGAAAAACAAATCATGACGCGCAGAGTCGCTAAACCGTTTTATTCTGTCTGTTTAGCTGTCCGTGTGTACTACGCGAACTGCTCCCAGAGTTTATCGTTATGAAATGTTACACACGTCATTTTCTTCATAAGCAGCTGCTCATTCGTCGGAAGCACCGATATTGGACCAATATAGCACATAGCTGTCATACGAACTGCCAAAAGAACTAAAAGTCTTGTATGGAAAACTTTTTTATTTGATGAGATATCTTCATGAAACTTGACATGAATTATTACCTAAGGCAATACCATAATCTCTGAGGAAATTGTTCAAATCGGATCACTATAGCTTATAACTGCCATACAGATTGTCCTATCGAACTCAAAATCTTGTATAGAAAACTTTTTATTTGATTAATCTTCACAAAACTCGACGTGAATGATTATTCAATACAACGCCATAATCTCCGAAGAAATTGTTCAAATCGGACGAATATACCACATAATTGTCATACAAACTGAACTATTAAAATCAAGTGCACTCGATAAACAGCAATCTAATATATATTGCATATATATGCACATAAAAGCTCTTGTATTATATACAACTGACAACATATCTCGGAAATAAATTAAAAAAACGCATTGATGAGCCAAAAAATATATAAAACGGTATTTTTCTTTATTTTTTATAACACTTTTCACTTTCTGAACAAAATTCTGCAATAAAAATGATCAATCAAATATTTTGAAATAAAATTTTTGATTAAAATTATTTTGAACTATTTGCACTCACATGCTGTCTAATGCTTTATCATGCGTTGGTTTAAAATGCGCTGGCCTGTCTCAACGTGCTCCAGCTTTCGTATTGTATTTCATGAATATTAAATTGGTTGCGTATACGCCAGGTTGGCCGTCATTAAAACTGCCTGGCGTTGGTACCACGCTGCAAATTATGTTTCCAAATATTTTAATTACCAATAAAACGTCCAATATTTTATTAAATAATATGATTATTGCATAAAATTGGCTTTTCGAGCGCCTCCTCGCCCACGCATACATGCAAATATTGTTATTTACTGCTGTGGCACAATCAAACAGACGCATTGCTGTTAGTTAAATCAATGCATAAATATTTGCAATAATTTGCAAAATCTGATACTTTATGCGAAAAACTGTAATTTGACTAATGTTTATACGTACATGCATACACATAAATAAGTTGATACCAATATATACCGACTGATCATAATTGAACAGGACTTAGAAATTTGTGCATTTATAGTATTTCTATTTAGTATCCGTATTTTATAAATTTTTGTTATAAAAATGTAGATTGAGTAAATATGTACCGTTTGAAGCGCAGTTAATTTCAACACACACACACACGCAAACAGCCGCATGCAATGCTTTAAATTCATACTTAAATGCCATAGGCATGCAAATATGCAACAACAAGGAAATGAAACGCGAAGAGTAAAATGAATTTCATTAATGTCAAAGTAGAAAAGCGAAAAGCGTATCACAAATAAATGTCGCGCAAATATTACATTATTAACTGGATATGAACTATAACATAATGCGCTTCGCTTCGTTGAGATTACCGAGATTACTCACTTTTTGTTTTTAGCCGCTGCTGCAGCCGTTTAATTTTGTTTTTATACCCTACACAAGGTATATTAAATATGCCATAAAGTTTGTTATGTTGAAGGATTTATAAATTATGTATAGAATAAGACGAATTGAGACGAATTAGCCATGCCCGTCCGTGTATATATACGCGAGTAATCAAACGAAACTTTGGTTATGTAATTTTTTCGTCAATCAGCTGGCATAGCTGGCATACAAACTGAACGTTCGAATAGGTATCACTGTAGGGAAAACTTTTTTATTTGAGAAGATATCTGCACGAAACTTGGCATCAATTATTTTCTGAGTCGACGATATAATCTGTGAAGAAATTGTTTAGATTGGACCACTTTAGCATATAGCTGCCATACCAACTGTGCATTAAAAATTAGGTCCTTGTATGGAAAGCGTTTTTATTTGACGAGATATCTTCATGAAATTTTGCATAGGTTATAACTCAACACAACTCTACAATCTCCGAGAAAATTTTTCAGATCGGTTAACTATAGCATATAGCTGTCATAGAAATTGGTGGTTAAAACTTGAGTGCTGGTATGAAAAACCCTTTTATGTAGCGAGACATCTTCACAAAATCTAGCACAGATTATTACCCAAATCATCGCTACCATTTCCGCAGAAATTATTCAGATCGGTCCACTATAGCATATAGCTGTCATACAAACTGATCGTTCAAAATAAAGTTCTTGTTTGGAAATCTTTTTTATTTGGCCAGGTATCTTTACGAAATTTTGCACAGATTATTATCCGAGCAACTGCTACAATCTCCGTAGAAATTGTTCAGATTGTACTACTATAGCATATAGCTTCCATACAAAATGACCGTTCAAAATCAACTTCTTGTATAGAATATTTAGTATTTGCCAAGGGTATTATGTTTTTTTTTTTGTTTTTTGTTTTGTTTTTCTGTAACGGTGCGTGACAACCTGAGTGACATTTAACCTGTGTTAAATGTCAAATGTGTTTGGATTTTGAGGGTTAATAGCATTTATGCGCTTTGTTGTCGCTTACGGCTTATCAATATTTAATGAAAATTGACAACTGTTTATTAAGTAATTAATGAGTTTATTTGTACAGATAAATGTGCACATTTTACCCATACAAATGCTCGTATTTACATACAGACAAATATTTACTCGTGTTAATATATAACTTGATACCTGTCGTATGTCACATTTAACATTTAATTTATATCAATTAACACATAAACAATGCCAACGACAGCGGCCGTGCTTGTTTTCTTGTGGTCCGTTAGGTTGACAATTTTTAGTTGTGGGTCAACTTGTTGATTTGTAATGAACTACATATACTGACAGGTCAACAATGTTGTAGTAAACAAAAATGTAGTGCGAAAATTCAGGTTAAAATAATTTAGTGCGTCTTAATTAGTAGCGGCAGCGATTTTGCGTTTCCTTTCGCGCCTCAAACGGCAGAGTTGACGTGAGGGCCAAGCAAAATTAAATATTTGCATCTAAGTATATTAAAACAAGAAAGGAAGGGCTAAGTTCGGGTGTCACCGAACATTTTATACTCTGGCATCAAATACCGTATTTGTGAAAAGTTTTATTCCGCTATCATCATTGGTTCCTAATGTATATATGTATTATACAGAGAAGGCATCAGATGGAATTCAAAATAGCGTTACATTGGAAGAAGGCGTGGTTGTGAACCGATTTCACCCATATTTCGCACATGTCATCAGGGTGTTCAGAAAATATTATATACCGAATTTCATTGAAATCGGTCGAGTAGTTCCTGAGATATGGTTTTTTGGGCCATAAGTGGGCGACGCCACGCCCATTTTCAAATAAAAAAAAAAGCCTGGGTGCAGCTTCCTTCTGCCATTTCCTCCGTAAAATTTAGTGTTTAGTGATTTTCAACAAAACCTTTGTATGGGAGGTGGGCGTGGTTATTATCCGATTTCTTCTATTTTTGAACTTTATATGGAAATGTCTAAAGGAAACGACCCTATAGAGTTTGGTTGACATAGCTATAGTAGTTTCCGAGACATGTACAAAAAAATTAGTAGGGGGCGGGCCACGCTCACTTTTCCAAAAAAAATTACGTCCAAATATGCCCCTCCCTAATGCGATCCTTTGTGCCAAATTTCACTTTCATATCTTTATTTATGGCTTAGTTATTACACTTTATAAGTTTTCGGTTTTTGCCATTTTGTGGGCGTGGCAGTGGGCCGATTTTGCCCATCTTCGAACTTAACCTTCTTATGGAGCCAAGAAATACGTGTCCCAAGTTTCATCATGATATCTTAATTTTTACTCAAGTTATAGCTTGCTCGGACGGACGGACAGACGGACGGACGGACAGACAGACATCCGAATTTCGACTCTACTCATCACCCTGATCACTTTGGTATTATCTAACTCTTTTAGTTTTAGGACTTACAAACATGAGTTATGTGAATAAAACTATAGTACTTTTTTTAGCAACTTTGTTGCGAGAGTATAATGAAATAGTAAAAAGTATAATGTTGAATTCGCTGCAACTGCATAGTTGCGCTATTATTTTGAATTTGTGGCTAGAACTCGCCTTAGCCCAGAGTTACGTAAATATTTGCTCCTCGAAGTACCTTAAAGCGCTATTATTTTAAAAACAGTTACTTTCTGTGTTAGAAACATACTCATTTCTCTATGTTTTATTAATTTTATTTTACATATTTTCCAAAAAAAAAAAAACAAAAAAGTGAAATTTAATATTTCTCTGCTTTTTGTTATATTTCAGGCGGTACACAACAACACATTTGCGTTACTTCGCTTGCAAATCAATTATAATGGTGAGTACTGTTGAACGTTTCAATTATATTTATGCAACTGTACCGAACATAACAGCTTAAGATTATGAAAGAGTAATTTATTATGATTAAAGCTCGTGCCTCGTATTATTAAAATGTCCGAATGCTAGGTTTCAAGTGTAGCTAGCGCCTTCTACATCTGGTCTGTGCAACGGAGCGGCGGTCTTCATCTTCCTATGGTTCTCCCGGCGGGTACTGCGTCGAATACTCTCAGAGCTGAAATATTTTCTTAAATTCGGACGACATCACCTACTAGCGTAGTGTAGCTGTCTCTTAATTCGTTGAACTATGTAAATGTCCAGTGTCGTTATATACATATATCGTACCGCTTCTCGCTCTATTGTTGCGATAATTGCCGTTGCCAATGCGTAAAGGACTATAAATCTTCCGCAGGTACTTTCTCTCGAAAGCTCGTAACGTCGAATCATCAGTTGTTGTCATCGTCCATGCCTTTGCATCACATTCTCGGGCAGGAATAATAGATTTTAGTTTTTGTTCGTCGAGGGAGGACTTTACTTCTCAATTGCCTACTCATTATAAAGTAACATTAGATCACCTCTGGCGGATCTGCAAGAGTATGCTCTAGTCTTTAAACCTTCCATTAGTCGCGACATCCTTTCGTAGAATTTTCGAGCATTATCCTGTCTGTCAACTTCTCAACCTCTTCATACTCACGCCTCTCCTTTCACTCATCGGTCTCTCTCTTTTTTTGTCTTCATATGCGTCTCGGTTCCCTCTTCGACTCTCGGTATATACTCGTATACCATCATGCACCTGTTGTGGGCAATTGTATTGTTGCCAAGTAGGCAGTATATTTCTCTCCGTTGCGTCGCGCCACTTCACATCGTACTGGCTGTTCTCTTTTGTTTTCTGAAAACCATTGGTCCCGTTTGCAACTGTACGTAAGGAGCCTGAAATGCCGCCCCAGGAAACTATGGGTCGCTGGTGAGTGATCTCAGAGAGCAGAAGTGCAAGTCGGGTAGAAAACTGTTTCGCTGTCGGTTGTGATAGTAGCTTCTCGACGTCGTACCTTTTCTGTGTATGTTGACGGTTGTGCATATTTTCGCTGCAGCAAGGTAGTGGTTCGAGTCAATGCTAGGACCTCGGAGCATACGCACGTCTAAAACACTGGAGATTTTCGGTCTGAAGACAGCCAGGTAGGAATCTAGTACTACAAACTACCATATTTCGTGCCCCTACAAATCGAAGTCGATCAGCCTCAACAATACCACAAAAGATACCTTCTTTGCCCTTCTTCGCCAGGCACAGTTTTCACATCGTGGCGAGTGCAGTAGTCATAAATGCTTTAAAGCCTCTCATAAAAGGCATCTTTGGTCAGATCAACCTTCTCTTCCGTCGAGGCGCGGATAAATTGGTGTTATGTTGCAAAATTTTGCTCTAATGCGGTTTGTGTCTAGACGCTCTTCCACCCCAGTGAATTCTATGACCCGACGACTGAGTCTCTCACCACGAAGTTCACTTCGAATTTGCTCTCATTTATTTGAGCGCTGCAGTAAATGTGTCAAGGGCTTACTCGTCTCCGTTCTTCTTCCGCCCTTCGTATATCAGGTACGACGGTGATGTCAGCCTTCACTTTTATGAGGACAACAGCCAGATGGGCATCGACGCTTTCCTTAAATTATAGCCCATTGCCGTTTGCTGTTGTAGTCATCAAAAGTAGTGTCTTTCATCTAAAGCTGTTGTTTTCTTATCATTGGGAGTGGTTTCTACGTACAGATATACACATTTATATAGCCAGCCTCTTGTTTCAAGACCGATGCCCGCTCGAAGCCGCACCTCTGGTGAACAGAAACTGCAATTAGACTTCAGCGTACTCTTAAACCGAATATGTCGGAGGGGCTATACAAGGGATATTCACTTTTCCAGGATGCGCGGCGAGAACGCAATAGTAGGATTTGGGTATAGTCCTAAAACTGTAACTGCTTACCCAGAAGCATAACCGCCGATCAAATCTAAGTCCTTGCATGGAAGACTTTTTTATTTGACATGCTATTTTCATGAAGTTGGGCATAGATTATTTTCAGAGGTATCTCTATAATATCCTAATAAATTGTTCAGATCGTACAACTATAGCTTATAGCTGCCATACAAACTGACCGATCAAATTCAAGTCATTGTATGAAAAACTTTTGTATTAGACAGGATATCTTTAAGAAATTTGGTATAGACGGTTATTAAAGGCAACACTATAATTTTCGAAAACAGCTCTATGATCGGACCAATATAACTTATAGCTGCCATACGAATTTAACCAGCAAAATCAAGATACAAATCTTTTTATACCTTTTAATACTATAAAAAATGCATCTGTGAAGGGTATGATAGCTTCGGTGCAGCCAAAGTTAACGCTTTTCTATTTTTTTGATGGTTCTTCTTAACATGTATAATACTCCGAAAAGTAATTTCTGCAGTGAGGTTAGGGCTATGCACCTAAAATTAAGCATTACTCTCGGTGGAAATAACTTTATACTTTTCATTATTTGATTAGAAATGTTTGCAATGTACATTTTCAATAAAAAAAAAAATAAATTTTGTATTTATTTAAACACCTAAGCCCAGACTGCATAGGCAGCAATTAAATTATGGCATACACGTCGTATGAGTGACATTTGCTGACACATTACCAACACCAGCCGCTCAAGCACCACTTGAAAATTTTAAGCAGGCAATAGAAAAAATCAAATGTAACAGAAATGTAAATTGCAGTAGTATTAGTATAAATTATGGCAAATTGCAAAAAGGCAGAAAAAATTCATGAAAAAATTCAATAACGCCATAAATTTAATTTTTAAAGCGTTTAAAGCATAAATGCAAAAATCAAACAATTTTAAATCAAAAGCGCTAGACGGGCTTGTATTGAGGTTTGCGTGTATGTGTGTGGTTGCATTAATTTTTTTAATTTTTATTTTTTATTTATTTTAGTGAAATATGTTGCGCTCGGCTGCACCAAGTGCGCTGATTTGACACAATGCTTGACACACACACACACACGCACGCATATATGCCGTATAGGTATTAGTTGGCAAAAAGAACTGAATGAAGCCGTATGCAATCCAAGCATAGTAAGCACACACATACATAGACACATACACACATTTGAATGCTTATATTTTTTGAACGCTTTTATGAATGCATTTGTGTATGTGTGTGCGTGCGTATGAGTATGCCTGTATAAATATTTGCATTTACCAAGTATGGCCTGTATTTTTATGCATTCGCACATCCCCGTACACACCCCTTCACATATAATGTATGTATGTATGTATGTAGTGGAAAATATTGTTACCCACTTGTGTAGGTATTTTCACAGCGAATTGCTTTGTCGCATAGAAAATTGAATAAAATTCAATGCGTTGCATATTTTGTTGCTGCAACATATGCTGTGATTTTGTTATTATACCCTGAACCGGGTTTCCCGCGAAGTTTGCAAAAAGCAGAAGAAAATTGTCCGTCCGATGATCTGAGCAGTGAATAAAAATTTCTGACTTCTGGGAAACTAAAAGACGCTCAATTTCGTGATTCGCTAATTTTTTTTTAAAGGAAACTTCAACTCTAATTGGGAATATTTATTAACATTCGAAAGATCATTTTTTGTCATTTGTCTTTTGAAGATTATCTATTTCAAATGTTGGCCGCAGGTACGTCTCAAATGGTCCATCTCTTGAGTTTCGATGACTCGTTCGATCATTTCGACTGTTAACTGGTGAATGACACTCGTGATGTTTTGATCCACGGCCTGAATCGATCCGAGATTGTTCCCCCCACAGTGAAAGAGTCCAATTGTGTTATATCACACGAACTTGGTGTCCAATCGACCAGCCCAAACGTGAAATTATCTGCTAACAAATGTGTTATCTCAATGAATTCATCGATTAATGCGATGAGTGGGAAGTGGCGCCGTCTTGTTGAAACTAAATGTCGTCGAGATCATGAGCTGATGAACACTCTCAGCTACGGCTGATAAATTTTCCTAACTGCATGGTATGAATACTGGGTCCCAAAATGGGTGCTGGTATTTCGAATAGTTTGCTCAGTAGGCCGATTGTGTGACTATAAGTTTAGCGAAGCGCGTTCTTTACAGAATGTGAATTTTCGTAATAAAGTTGAACGATTTGTAAACGTTGTTTAGTCGTACTCTTTTCATGATACTATACATTACTAGTGACAGCACTCAAAGAAAGGAAAACATCTCTAGAACAGGGCATGGATCCCTCCGATATATTATACAAGAAACATGAATAGAAAGTACTTGCTAAAGTGCAGAGCCTTGAGAGTCGTCTCGGCGTACCGCACTGTATACAAAACCGCCGAAGTGGTGGTAATACTATATAATTTATTCGCAAAGGGCAGAATACAACTCTGGTAATGGAAGCAGGACGAAACAGAAATACATGTGACCATAAGACCAAGAAACAAATACTTGAACTCTGGCAGGATCGGTTGTCAGGGGAGCGCAAAGGAAGATGGATCGCTAAACTAATCAAAGGTAGAGGTTTTGCACACGTTTTTCGCCGTCACGATCGGTGGACATGGGAGCGCAATGCAGGCGAACCACTAGACCACGCAAACCATATGTTTTTAAGTGATGACGTTACATTAGAAATAAGCTTGAAGAACTCATTACGAAAAATAAAGTACAAAAGTTTATGACAGCACCGAAAGCTGGTAGAAAACGCCAACTCTCAGGTCCTGGAGAATGCGTGCCAATAAAAAAGGTGAACCAAATAGCTTAATGGTGGTTACAAAATTGTAGGCATTCCCGGACGCAGGGAGAGCAAAAACTCACTTGTAATAGGTCCGTCTTGGAAACCTAGACAGATCCAATAAAGAAAGGGGAAGTGGTTTAATGGGTACTCCACTGAGAGTAAGTTGACGATCTCTATATGGCGCTAAGGCTTTTCTTACTGTCTTAGGATAAAAGCAAATACCAGAGTTGAGTCCGCGTTCGTCTATCCGTCTGT